TCACTGAGTATCACTGTTACAGCTCCCCTATTCCAAGCTTACAGCTCTTAAGCAACAGGAGACAATAAGGGTGTATTTTATTAAGAAAGGGTGTAACCAACTATAACTTGTATCAACAAGCTAAAGAAGTGTTCACCTAAGCACATCTGTGGAGGGGAGGGTAAAGGTTGCATTTGATATATACTAAGGAGTGTCTAAAGCAGTTAGTGGGTGTTTTATTTTTATGCCTTTAGAACCAGATCAGTGTGATGTTCAAACAACAAAGAACTAAGCTTTGAAGTTTGAGTCGGTGCCAGTAACTGTTCAGTTTCACATCTAACTGTACGTATGTCTAAGAGTACACCACTAAAAATTATAAAAGAATAACCACAGGAATTCAGTTAGACTAACCAAGTGAACTAAACAAATGTCAGACATGTTATACACTGGGCCCAACAGCAGTATGCAGATGCTTGTGTACCAACCCCTTTATTCAGCTTCTAAAAGCCACTGCGCCTCTTTGTCACACTGTTGTATTAAAAGCCAGTCACTCACATTTCACACTGTTCTTTCTACATCTGAAAAGACCTTTTTTTTTTTTCAAGCAAAACCTTTTAAAATTGCTTATAATAGATTATGGGAAGACAGACATCACCAAATCCACCTGAAATGTTTTCAAAGAGATTGGCTACTGAAAGCAAGTTGACAGAAAATACTTCTTTGGAAAAATATGTCAAGTTTTTGGTCAGAATTAGAGGCCAAAACTCTGAGCCCATCATGGGGCAATTTTCATATGTGGATCTTACTCAGAAAAATTCTGCAATTTTTCCCACATCTACATTGAATTACAACTAATAGCCCTACCTATGAAATGTTTTACATTAATCTTTTTGTTCTTTCCTGTGCTTCTTATCCACCTATGAAAATAAGTTACAACTTTAGGGCTATAATATTTGTGTGCTTGATATATAAAGCATGATATTTTAGCTAATTTGAAGCATTTTGATTCTTAAAGAAAAAAATTGTATTTTTTTAATCCAAGAATAAACCAAATTTATTTTCATTGAAAAATAACCACAGCAGTGAATTAATGATACCAATCTCACTCCTGGGATACAAAATAAAAGTTGAAAGCAGTTTGGAGAGGAATGACTATTGAAATCTGCACGTGAAGCTGTGCGGCTTTGTAACCGAATGTCTAGCACCATTGAGGTACGAAAGCATGCCAGCTGGGACGGCATTGTGCACCACAAAGTGTGGGTTGTAAGCCTATGTCCTAAGCACAAACCCTGGTTTCCAAGTTGGCAGGTGCTGAAAACACAACAAATGTCACGCTTGCAACTCATTGGATGGAAGACCTCTGGGTAAGGCAAGCTAAAAGCTAAAAAGAACAGAGTGAGAGTTAAAACTTGAAAAATAAAACAATTCAGTAGTATCTTTTTTTAAAAATTCCTAGTGACTTTTATTATTATGTGCTATAAGAAAACATAGGGATGAAAAGCAGGCACTGAAGTACATTCACAGTAAATAAAAAGGAAAAAGTGTAATAACGGCATTCAGTTACTAGCATATGAAAACTTACTAAACCAATCTTATTATTCCAATATTAAGCTTCAAAAACAAAATCTAGGGGGCTGGAGAGATTATTCAGCAGTTTAGAGCACTTATTGCTATTGCAGAGGACCTGGGTTCAATGTTCACCATTTAATGGTGGCTCTGCCCTCTTCTGGCCTCCATAGGCACCAAGCACACACATAGTGCACATATATACATGCAGGCAAAATATTCATACACATGGAAGTAAATAATTGTTAAAAAATGAACAAAAACATACGCTCTGATATATGTATGGCAACTTTATGTTGTATGTATGTAGACTTTAGTGTCACTACCACACAACTAGCCATCTACAATGTGCCTATTACTCCACCAAAAACATAGCTAAAAACAAGGCACAGTATTTTCATATTGCCCTATGTTTAACTTAGAAAATATCTCAACTATACTCCCGAATTATATTCACATGTCCTGTTTTCAAGTAAAAACCATTTCGAGCTTTTTCTTATTCTTTAAAATTCATTTAGTATTTGCACTACAAACTCAAATTGTTTTTCTCTGTTGACTCTCTCATATAAGTCACTGCCTCAAGGTAAACCTAATTTAATTTGGACATACTGATAAGCTAAAAACTACTGATACTCTTCCTATTTCCCTCAAAAGGACATTTTCCACTCATTATCGAGGAACCAGGTATAGTTTATGATTTACCAGAGCTTAAATATACAATCCAATCCTGAATCCTTTGGGTTTAAACTACGAAGGGGGAAATTTTGTGTCTGGGTCTAACCAGGAAGGACTGGAGCACCATGAGAACATTCCCCAGCTTGCAAGCTTCTGAATCTCTTCCCTGTCCTCAGCAGTTTGCCAATCTGCTGTATTCAAAAGCTAAGCTCTTTTGTTTTCATTCACACCTGTCATTTTAAGAGGGATGACATTCTGCCGGGCGGTGGTGGCACACGCCTTTAATCCCAGCACTCGGGAGGCAGAGGCAGGCGGATCTCTGTGAGTTCGAGGCCAGCCTGGGCTACCAAGTGAGATTCAGGAAAGGCGCAAAGCTACACAAGAGAAACCCTGTCTCGGAAAACCAAAAAAAAAAAAAAAAGAGGGATGACATTCACCTGGTTCTTTGTTTTTCTTCCCTACCAGTTTTGTATGAGTTCTCCTGAAGGTGTAGTGCATCCATACCTGAAGAATAAAGGGACAGATAAGACTACAGAGGGGAGGGATTTAGTTTCAGTGGTAGAGTGCTTGACCAGCATGCATGAAGTCCTAGGTTTAATCCCTGGTATTATTGGGGAGGGGGGGATGAGAGGGGGGGGGAGAATAACTAGTATGAAAAAGAAGTTGACTTCCTATTTTAAAGAATAAATTTATAGGTGAGGGACAAAAAGAAAAAAAAATCTCAAGACTTGGTAAAAGCCAGGTTAGTCATCATTGTTCTATTAAACCATCTTGATCATAGTCTGTTCTAAAAACATGTCAAGCTTTAAAGAAATTTCTTTAAAATGGTACAAATACTTGTTGGGCATAGTAGCAATTGCCTATAACCCCAAAACTTGAAAAGCTGAGGCAGCCAGGACTATAGTGATGCTCAGGAAAAAAAAAAAATGAAAACCTACAATTTACTTCACAGACTTATAATCCCAGAAGTAGGGAGGCAGAGGCAGGAGGCTCCCTGTGAGTTTGAGGCCAGTCTAATCTACGCAGTGAATTCTAAGCAGTCAGAAGTACATAGCAAGATTGGGGTGGGAGTGGGATAACCAAAAAAGATTTAAAATTTCTTGGGGTCAACTAGAAAAAGCAGCAGGGCTCGGATCTGACAGTTCTACAGATGATGTTAGGAACTCTGAAACTATTCACCTAACTATCAATGAGAAGGCTGAAGACATGCTTTCTAGACTAGCATAAAAAAGTGGTTCCCTGCACCTTCACACACTCCATTCTCAATTCCAGCATAAACTAAGGACAGATCGGATAAACTACCATTACTCAACATCAAACAATACACATGGTAGTTAACTTACAGCAGAGAAAGAAATGTGACTCAAATAAAAAAACTCAAGCCTGAATGATATAAAGTAGAAACTAGCTGTAACCTGTCAGTCCATTTCGTCTTAACTAGCCAGTAAAACCCAAGACCAACTCTATTCTCATGAGACCCAGCATCCCTATTTAGTAACCCTCGGAATCATGCCTTGCCTCAGATCTAATGAAGAAAAGTGCAGTAACCTTGCCCATTTGTTTTCAGTTCAAATACATTCACATTAACATTTTCACCACCACATCTACACTTTTTTTTTCTTTTCTGGTTTGTTTGGTTTTTTCATGACAGGGTTTCTCTGTGTAGCTTTACGCCTTTCCTGGAACTCACTTTGTAAACCAGGCTGGCCTCGAACTCACAGAGATCTGCCTGCCTCTGCCTCCCGAGTGCTGGGATTAAAGGCATGCACCACCACCGCCGCCCAGCCCACACCTACACTTCTTACCATTTATTACTACTTAAAAGATCATGTTCTCAATCTAAAAGGTGTTTTTCCGTGCTCTCTGAAACACAGGAAAATATTTACAAATCCAGCATTGTGGCATTTACTCTTTATTCTCTTACTAAGTAAGAAGGTGCTTCAGCACGGTCCAAGTTAGAGGCTAAGGAACGTGTAACCTTGGCTGTCCTGGAACTTACTGATCCACCTGCCTCTGCCTCCCAAATGCTAGGATTAAAGGTGTGCACCCAGAATTATTTCAAGGATGTTTTGAAAGGCCTACCTTTCCAGATGCTCTTTCTGTGACTCCTCAACACTCATTTAATCACTCCTACAATACAAACACCTTTCAGTGGAACTGAGTACATTAATGTGGCAGCACTGAGGGGTAAAATCCTAACGATTCTCCTCTTAGTTCCAATGGGAAGAAGGGTTCTTGGAGGAAAGAGTATTTATCTGGCACTAAGCTGCTTGCCATGTACCTTTGCAATATTCACAGCTCTGTTGGGTAGAGGCCACACCTGGTTCTCTCCACATATCAAGCCTGCTTCAAAGAAGTGGACAGACAGTAGTGCCCCTTGACTAAGCATGACATGATATAACAAAGTTCAGTTTCTGGGCTCAGCGGTAGAATGCTTGCCTGACAGGCCCAAAGCCCTAGGGTTTATGCCACAGCACCACCAAAACAAAAAGAGAAAAAACAAAAGTCAGCCTTTGTCATCAGCAGGATAAGCAGTTACAAGACAAACTGACAGGCCACCTAGTCAGGAGGTACAAAAAGACAAGAGTCTCTGCTGCAGAAGAGAAGCATCTCAAAGCCCAAGGCCTTAGAGTGACAAAGTGAGTCATCTGGGAGTATTCAGCTGCTGGCATTTTGTGCCCAGAGGAATCAGGGGAAGATTCGTTAGAGTATCATGATTGTTCCTTGGACCTCATTTTAATCTTACTGTTCTACATGTAAGACGGAAGCAGACTAAACAATAGGATGCAAATTTCTAAATTTATTGGTCAAGTCATATCTATAGTCAAATGAATACAAACTGAATAATCAAACACATATCAGAAACAATCAGTCACCAAGCACAAGTTTTTTTCAGATTAAAAAAATCTTCATTTGCTTCAAATGTTTTATTACACAGGCATACACATCTTTTTAATAGACAGATAGATACCTTGGTTTAAGAGCCATCAAGCTACCCAACAACTGACACTCAGTAAATGGAGTGTGAATGTCCTCATATATATTAGAAACCTGTTTTGTAGGCCTTGTTCATTCAATCCTAATTTTTAGGAATTTTTGCTGGTTCCTTCCCTAAAACCATACATTGAAGCCCTAAGCCCCAATGCAATGTGGGTAAGGCCACTATGAAATAACCAGGGTTAGGAGAGGTCATGAGATCAGTGCCCTCACACAGAGACCCTGAGAGGTTGTACATTTGTTCTCTTTCACACACAGAAGTCATGTGAACATACAAACAGCAGCCACCAACAAGCCAAGGAACAAGATAAAACAAACCTGGGGACAGGCATGGTGATGTACAGTGGGTAAAAGTGCCAGCCACCAAGCCTGACAATCTGAATCCAATCCTTGGGACCCACATGGTAGAAGAAAAGAACTAAGCATACAAATTATCCTCTGACCTCCACATGTGTGTGTCACACACACAAAAAATAAATAAATGTAAAAAAGCAATGGTGATGGTATCTTGCCAGCACCTTGAATTCCTGCTTCCAGAACTCTGAAAAAGAAATGGCTGCATTTTAGGCCACCCAGTTTATAGTACTATGGTATCTGAGCTGCATGAGTAGGAAAGAACTTAAAAGTAAAGAACGGTTCTATGGGAAATGGTGCCTGCCACCAATCCTGATTACCTGAGTTTGATCTCTGGGGCCCATATACTTGAGACAGTACATCCACACCAACATGCATATACACATACATGCATGTGCAGGCACGAAATAAACAAAACATTTTTTTTTCTTAAAGTTTACCTTTTTATTTTTTTCCTGTGACAGGGTTTCTGTGTGGCACTGGCTGTCCTGGAACTCACCCTGTAGACAATGGTGGCCTTGAACTCACAGAGATCCACCTGCCTCTGCCTCCAGAGTGCTGGGATTAAAGCTGTGTACCATCACCACCCGGCAAGTTTATCTACAGAATGTCCATGACTTATAAAGGAAAGGAAAGTGGTTTCTCTAGGTCCAATCCCTTTGATTCTTACTCTTCTACACAACAGATTCACTGGCTGACTGAGTCACTGACTTTGTGGTACTGGAGAGAAATCCAGGATTACCATCAACATGCCAGAGAAGAACTGCACCAATAGGCTGTACTCCCAGCCCTCTTCAACAGACTTGAAACACAAACTATCTGTAATCATTCAATGAAAGGAACTAAATTTCAAATTCAAAAATAACCTATTTCATCTGTTTCAAGTCCTTAGTCAAACAGAATGAACAAAATGATCTCTTCTGTTTCTGTAGCATCTTTACCATAGGAGCATCCCATTGGAAAGCTGCCTCACTAAATGAACAAACCTTTGAAAGAACAGTTTACTTGATAGTGAGGTAAGATAGTTATAATATGGCCTTTTAGTTTAGTCTAGTTAATTACTTTTTAATTAAACAATAACTGGCACAACTATAAGTCTATGTGGGATTTTATCCTATCTCTTGAGCAAATTATATTATCAATTATTTGACTCAAGAAGCTTTTTTTTTTTTTTTTTTTTACAGAATCAGAGCTTTCCTTCTAAGCCAGCTATGGTTTGCAAGGGGATCAATACATCAAAACTGTGTCTTACTTATAACTACTCAAAAATAATAAATATTACTCTCACTCAAAACAACATTATAAAAGCAGGTTCACTGAAACGTCTCCAATGTTCCTTTATAAATGACAGACATAGGTAATCCCTCACAGCTCTAGGCTTTCCTCCCAAAGCTTGTGCATGGCTCTTTAACTCAGCCAATGCGAAAGTCTATTAAATACCATACTGTAATTTTCCCCATCTAACTCCAATGAGGCTTCTATAGAAGACATGGAAGGAAAACCTAATTACCATTGCTTCAGTGCATCTAGATTTATTTCCTCAGCAAATCAACAGACTAAGGGCTAGATGCTGTCACAGAAAGGCAGGCGGATATGGAATATAAACTGCTCTTTCCTCCACTCTTCCTCCCTGTGTCTCGCCTCTCTAAGTTCCATGGTTGGAAATCATCCTAATATTTTTTTAAGCCAGGATGTACTAAAATTAGACAGGAACAAAGGCCTGACATTTTCATATTAGCAAGGGGTTAGGAAGCAAATCTGAACTTGAAGCACCCACACTCATCTACATTTAGCCTCTTCCTCTCGAGTCTTTCCTTTCGAAAGCAGCAAGAGGCAACAGCAGGAACCAACCCAGTTCAGTTTCTACTCTGCTCCTGTCCCTGACAACAAACTATTTCATCCACAGTGCATCAGTGAAGACCCCTAGTCAACTGGAGTATTTCATATTTCTTTCTAAGCTACTCTGGTATTCTCTAGGATATAATTGCTGGATCATGTGCTAACGCTTATGGCTTGGGGAAAATGGAGAGATTACACTCACTTTTTTAAAAGTAGCTTCCAGGCACTATACACAATAAAAAATTAGACACTGATTTATCATTTCCTGATAGAGTAATAATAACAACATGTAAAAATATAACACAGGGGCTAGACAAGTGGCTCAGCAGTTCAGAGCACGTCCTGCTCTTACAGAAGATCGGTTCTAAGCACCCACATAAGGCAGCTCACAACTGCCTGTAACTCCAATTCCAGGAGACCCAACACGCTCTTCTTTTGACCTACATGGCCACTCACCCAAATGGCATATTTTTACAGAGACAAATAAAGAAAAATTTAAAAATTGTTTTTAAAAATGTGCCATTTCTTCAGGAAAACAAGAAAATATTTCCTCTAAAAAATGAAAACTAGCCATGGGGGTTTATGGCTTGCTCTGTTACTTGCTGGGAAGTAATTTACAAACATTTTTAAGATACAACGGACTGCTTGGTCTTCTTCAGTCTTTCTCACAACACTATCAGCATGACAAAAGTACATTCTCTCAGCTCATACATCCCCAGTTTTTGAAGTTCTACTCCACAAAAGCAGAATACTGATATAGTCATGTCTTAGGAATTATTCTTATCCTTTTAATTCGGCTTCCCTGGGCCTAAGCTCCAAGTCCACAGTGATAGCTTGAAATTCCGCTAGAGAAACCCTTTTAATGATTAGTCTAACTCACTGTGTTATAAAGATTTTTAAAACTCAGTAAGTACCCACTCAAGCTCTCTTTTTTTCGTGGTTACTAGAGCCCATCTTGACATCTAAGCTGGAAATGAATGATCTTTCAACAACACTCCAGGGATTTTGCTAAGGTCATATTCAATCATTCATTAGGCCTGGTACCCGGTGCTTTTCAGAGTTCCATTGTAGAGCTGGTTTTATTCAGCATTTATGTAGCCTGTGGGCTTGGGTATTTGTCTGCTTAATGTTGAGTTTCATTTCTATGCCCCTAACATAGGAATCCATCAATTGACCAAAGAATTTCAAACTATTCCTTTACTTTCTAACAAATTGCATGGTGTGTATGAAGAATAAATTAGCATTAATTTTCTTCCATTAACTGTTAATAAGACATGTTCCTGCATTCACCCTTCATCTAAGGACATCTCTGTTTCCTGCCTGACCAAAAGAAATGATAAGGATTTTCTAATTTTTCCCCCAGTATGTCTTTAAATCTACTGTGTTCCTTGCTTCCCACAACCAAGCTCTAAGTTGTGGCAGCCTTCTTCCAGTAAAATATACTGGACAATATCCTTTCAGAGGCCATCTACACCCCTGCAATTAGCTGGAGTGGTTACTACTGTGCAACACAAGACACTTGGTCTCTTGGCCTGAAAGCTGAGCACTGTTTCTGCAAAAGATAGATCCTAGTTCACAGAGGCAAAAACAGGAAGTCAAAACCCAGGTCTCTCCCTTGGAGACAAACTGATTGTATTTGTTTTTATTTTCAATGTAGGCCACCAGACAGAAAAAGGGTCAGATACATTCATACTATGTATATATCGACACAAATCTATAAAGTGGGAAAATTGCATAGTTTGAGCAGGGTGTGGTAGCAAAGTCCTATAATCCCAACACAGAAGATTGAGACAGAAAGATCAGGGATCAGAGTTCAGGGCTATCCTCAGCTGCAAAGGAGGGTCAAAGCTTGCTTAGATTACGTGAGACCTTGTCTCAAAAAGAATGAGAGGAAAGAAAGAAAACAAAAATCAAACAATTATGTATGTGCCTCAAAAACTGAGGTTTCTACTGGAATGAGAATGGATGAGAATGAACCCTGTCAGCATGCAGTGGTACACTGCAGCGGTACACTAATTTTACAAATGTATAAAAGGTATTAAGGTCTTTTATATATGTTTGGCTCCCTTCTTTTCTCTAATAGAAGATTGCATGCACATTGGAGAGGAACAAGAAGAAAAATAAGATTGTTACTACAATGGGGGAAAAATCAAGTACAATTTGTACTTATTTTATTTATTTATTTATTTATTTATTTATTTATTTATTTATTTATTTATTTATTTATTTATTTATTATTCATACAACATGTATGACTGCAGACCAGAAGAGGGCACCAGATCTCATTACAGATGGTTGGGAGTCACCAAGTGGGTGCTGGGAATTGAACTCAGGACCTCTGGAAGAACAGTCAGTGCTCTTAACCTCTTAGCCATCTCTCCAGCCCATTTTGTACTTATTTTTAAATGGGTTTAGTCAGGTTTGAATCACAGACCAAAGTGTTGGCCCCCAAAAGAAACTCCAACTTGAATACCTGGTTAAAACAAACTGTTCTCAATACTTGCTATTTGTTAAGTTGTGGAGCCTGAGCAGCTACCTGCAGCATCCAGGCCTGACTCCCCATAGACCTGCAGGTTCCCTGTGGCCCTGTGCTTCCTACAGATAGGGCCTGTTGGCTATAGCAGCATCACTGAAAAATGCCCCACTTCTTGTTTGCATTTCAAACAAGTTCCTCAAAATGTCTTCTGATGAAATGAAGCTCCAATTCCAGTTTCTTACCCACAGACCACAGTCGTCATTACACCATGTGCTGCCCCTTTTGTGTAACTGTATCATTTCATTCATGGACCCACATATTTATGAGTTAACAAAGCCAGCGGCAGTAGCGCACACCTTTGATCCCAGCACTCGGGAGGCAGAGGCAGGCGGATCTCTTTGAGTTCGAGGCCAGCCTGGTCTACAGAGTGAGTTCCAGAACAGGCACCAAAACTACACAGAGAAACCCTGTTTTGAAACCCACCCCCAAAAAAAGAGTTAACAATACAGGGGTTAGAGAGATAGGGCTCAATGGCTAAGAGTGTTGGCTGTTCTTCGAAAGGATTCAGGTTCAATTCCCAGCACCCACATGGTGCTGTCTGTAACTCCAGTTCCAGGGGATCTGACATCCTCACATAGACATACAAGCAGGCAAAACATCAATGCACATAAAATAAAAATAAATAAAATTTGAAAAACAGAGTTTAACAAACTAAGCTTTAAAATAAAGTTTATAGTTTATTTCATAAACTTAGAGATATTTGGTGACCAGGCTTTTAACAGTTTGGTAGTATTTGAAAATACTAATTTCTATTTATTCTGACTTTAATCATTAAAGGGCTGACTTCTAGGAAGATTAAAGTGCTAAGAAAAAATGACAAGTCCTTTTTTTAAGCTTTATTAACAGCTCCATATTGAAAAAAGAAAAAAGAAAAAGCCTCTACCTTTGCAAAAAGAACAAATATGTCCCACAAAGGAACTCAATCAATATCAACAGACATATCCCAGGCTAACTGTGAGTCAGACTCAGCCTGCTCACACAGAAAGTGATTTGTTAGGTTGATGCTTAATAACACTTCAAATTTACCCACTTAAAAGTCTAGGAGTATGTACTTCTACTTATTTAATTATTTATTTTAGACGAGCTCTCATTAAGTAGTCCCAGCTGGATTGAAACTTGCCATGTTGATTACTGTTATTTTTGAAACCGAAGACAAATTTGGAATACCTTTTATTATTAAAGAAGAAAATCCCCTCACTACATTACAAAACAGTGTGTCTACAGTGTAAGACTGTGGTTAGGGAGGGCTCAGTGAACACAAATGCATGCTGGGCAAGCATGAGGATGTGAGCTGGAATCGCCAGCACCTGTGTAAAGCCAGGTGTGGCTGCATGCATGTGCCCCCAGCTCCAGAGCTGGCAGATGCAAACAAGCAGGCCCTTGGAACTTGCTGGCCGGCTACCTAGCTCAAACATGGAGCTTCAGGTTCAGTAAGAGACCCTGAATCAAGGAAATAAGGAGGACAAAATAAGGCAGCAATAGAACAGATACTTGGGCTGGGTGTGGTGGCACCTGCCTTTAATCCCAGCACCTGATCCAGAGGCAGGGGCAGGCAGATCTCTCTGAGTTCAAAGCCTGGTCTACATAGTGAGTTCCAGGACAGCCAGGACTAAGTAGAGAGATCCTGTCTCAAAAAAATAACCACAAAAAGATTCTCAGTCTCCCTTTTCCTTCCACATATGTACGCCTACGCACTTGCATATATGTGTTCAGATACACTAAAAAGATCCCACATCTCAGAAAGCACAATTTTCTGAAAAGCTTAAATTGTACATATTTTAAAGTAATTTCTCACATTTTGCATTCCAAAATAAAAGCTATTCCAAAACCATTATTTTTGTTCAAAGTCCATGTAACTGTCTCCAAATCTTGAAAAGACAAGTGGCAGCCTTAATGGTCATGCTGACCTAAGTTACAGGCTTGTCCTCCTCTATTGCCTCAGAACAAAACCATCTAATGCTGGACTAGGCTAAATACTAGAAGAATATTTACCATAAAAAAGGGTCTGGAACCCAATAGTCCCAAAAAAAGCTGAAAATCATCAAAAGTTATATAATATTTTAATTATAAAATATTTTACTTATTTTATGTATACAGGTATTTTGCCTACGTGAACGTCTATGTACTACACGCCTGTCTGGTGCCCAAGGAAGCTAGAAGAGAGGGTATTGGATCCCTACAAACTGGAGTAACAGATGGTGTCAGCCACATGGGTTTTGTGTAAAAACTCAGGTCCTCTGCAGGAGAAGAGTGCTCATAACTGCTGAGACATCCAGCAACCCAAAAGCTACGTAATTTTTTTTAAAAAATTACATTAAGACTCTAATACTAAAATATTGTCCCAAATAGAGTTTCCTTAAATATCAGATATAAATAAAAGATACACTTTACCTTTTGCAATATACAAATGCCCTCCAGATAAACCAGCTCTCAGATCGAGCACCTTGTCTGTACATCCCTCAGAGTTCCACAGAAAGATGAATGACAAGTTCAGTTTTCACTTTTCTTTTGTGTGTATGCTTGCACATGTATGCATTGCACATGGATGTGTATGTAGAAGCCAGAGGTCGTTAGGTATTTTGTGGAATATTATTTTAACTGTGTAAAGGTGTGTTACAACTGTTTCTACTGCCTTTGTTAACGATACAAAGATGTGTCACATTTGTTTGGTTAAAGAAAATTAACCTGAGGTCAGGAGGCTGCATCAGCAACTAGCTGACAGGAAGTGGTAGGAAGGAACTAAGTGTAGCCAGGGTTCTTTAGTGGGGGCCTGAGCAGAAGGATGGCCTTTTTTCAGGAGACGTGAACAAGGAGAGGAGGTTAGCTACTTGCTATTCTGAGCTAGCAGGATTTCACCTCAACCTTTGAATCTTCTACAGAAGATTCTATAGAAGAATAGAGATTTAGATAGTTTCCCTTAGCAGCCATGATAGAGTTGGGATAGCAATTGCTTAAGGTGTAGCCACTGTGCTGAATGCAAAACAACAGGCTATCTTTCTCAATTGCTCTCAACTTTTTTGAGATGGGTTCACAGTGAACCTGGAGCCAACTGATTCACAGCTAGGCTGCCTGGCCCTCAAGGCTCAGGGAATCCTCTTGTCTCAGCTCAGGAGCACTGAGATTATGCTGCTACACACAGCACTTTACATAGGTGCTAGGGATCTGAAGTCAGGTCTTCATGTTTACATGGCAATTTCCTCAACATTATTTTCTGTTTTTGGAGAAAAGGTTTCACTGTGCAGCCCAAGCTTTTAACTCTAGTTCCTCCTCCTTCAGCCTCCTGAGTGCTAAGATTACAGGTGTGTCATGCCTTGCTTCAAATTCAGTTCCTGGTAAAGGACAGTCTTTCAAAACAGATAGTAAAGAGTCATAATGGATGTCATGAGACTCAAGTGGCTGACTCACTATTATCAAAGTCCACAGACCATCACTAGCCAGTTAGTTGTTGGTGATCAACACTAACAAAGGGCTATATGCTCCTAAAAGTAAGTGCCCACCTGGATTTTATATGTAGCACTGACTTAGATGCTATAAAGACAGATATGTGGCACCTGAGAGGTAGACTATGCTAGAAAGAAGATTCTAGAGTCAGCCAGACCCAACAAAGAATCTTGGCTTCACCTGGTACTATCTGGCCTTACAAAAAGTGTCTTCACTCTTGGCTGCAGCTCTCCTATATATAAACAAGCAATTCTTTGTGAAAATACCAGGGGGACTCAATGATTTAATATAACATCATTAGTTAACATGGGGCTAAGCATTTAGAAATAGTCCTAAATTGTCTTTCCTTAAACTACCCATTTATCCTTCACAGGATAGACTAGAGTTACCAGTGTGGTGGGCACGCCTTTGATCTCAGCACTGGGGTTCCAGAGGCAGGGGGATCTCTGAGTTCTGGGCCAACCAGGGCTACACAGTGAGACACTATCTCAAAAATAAATAACTAAAAATAATTTATCAATTTCTCTGATTTTGCTTAATAACATGACAATCAGGGAGCTCTCCCAGCTAACAACAAAATGGCATTTCTTACCATAATTCATATCCTATAACTCATGAAGAAAACTTTTAACTATTCTGGCCTTGAAACAGTTCGGTTCAGTTTTCACAAATAGCCATTTTCAATTCAACTATTACCAAGGCACAAAAAAACAAGAATAGATGCTTTCTGTAAATTCATTTACTGCCTTAAGGCTTTCAACTATTTAATAGTTACAGAAAACTGCCTTAAAACACAAGAAAAACATTTATATGTCAAATACAAAATAAGATTTTACATTATTCTTAGTTGACATCTAAATGCTGATTCCCATTCTTGTGGTTTCCCACCACCCCATTATCTGTACTCAGTCTGTGCACACTTAGTACTTACTAAGCACTATTTGCATTTGCTAAGCCTGGGTACTTACTAAGCACTATTTGCATTTGCTAAGCCTGAGTACTTACTAAGCACTATTTGCACTTGCTTCTTCTGTATCAGGTTTACTTTGCTGTACAGTTTCTTCGAGAAAACTAACTGACTTTGTCCAAGAAAGTCTCACTTTTTTTGAAAAACCAAAGCTGCTACAGTGTTTCCAGATCTACCTCCAAAGCTGAACTTGGGTGTTGGCAGCTCTTCAAAAAATTCAAATCCTATAAAACAAAAATTAAAATATCTGTTAGAGATATTTTGTACAACAATGTTCTTTCAAATCCTTTCTAAAACTGTGATTTCATACTGGTGACCGAACTTAATTTTGCAGGTTTTTTTTCTACCTTAACCCCCCCAATTTTTTAAATGAACAGGGAACAGAAAGGACCAAAAACAATTGGGAAGTCTTCCCCCCATCTCCTCTGGTCCTCCTCACCACTACCTCCCGACACCTCCCTTATTCTATCTATTTCTCCATCTCCTTAGTAGGAAGCAGCTGTGACACACTCAATTGTTGCCATACACCAGCACTACTACTTCTTCTTCTTTTTTGTTTTTTTTGAGACAGGTTTTCTCTGTGTAGTTTTGGACCCTATCCTGGAACTCGCTTTGTAGACCAAGCTGGCTTCAAACTCACAGAGATCTGCCTGCCTCTGCCTCCGGAGTGCTGGGAGCCCAGCCCAGCTCTGCTTATGTGGCTTTCTATGTAGGAACTCAATCTCATCAGAAATATAAAGGCATGTAATACAGAAAGGTTAAATTACTTAGAGTAAAAATGAATTTGTAGATGATGAAGAAGTTCTGGAAGACAGACTTCTCGTGGTTACATCACAATATGGGTGAAGTTACTGAACTGCACACTTAATTCATTATCTATCTATGGGTTTAGTTGTATTTGGTTTTTCTGAGACAGAGCCTCATACAACAGAGGTTGGCTCTATGCTTTCTATATAGCCAAAGATGACCTTTAAATTCGTGATCCTCCTGCCTCCACCTAACAAATACTAGGATTAAAGGTATACACTGCCATGCCCAGTCTGAATTGTTCACTTAAAAACAGTTAAAATAGTAAAAATCTTATGTGTTTTATCACAATTTTTAGAAAAAAAAAGATTAAACAAAAATTAATACCCAAACAAACTACTAACTATCTTGGAAGAAATTATAACTTTCAGAGCACAGTATGCTTTTAAAAGAAACATTGATTGAGAACCTAGTGTCCTAGGTTCAAGTCTCAGCTTTCCCATGTCTACGTAAGAGATATACTTGCTCAAGGAACCTTTTCCATTACCCTGAATTCTATTCAAAGATGACAGATAGCAAAATTGCCACATGACTTTGTAAAGATTCAAATAAAGTAACTAGTGTTTCCCTCAACTATAAAATAAGCTGTAAATACATTATTTTATGGGGTTTTTTGGGGTGGTGGTTTTGTTTTGTTTTTCAAGATAAGTTCTCACTTTGTAGCTCTGGCTGTCCTGAAACTTGCTTTACAGACCTGCCTGCCTCTGCCTCCCCAGTCCTGAATTAAAGGTGTTTGCCACCACTGCCCAAAGCCAGCTTGGTCAACATAGTGAGTTCTAGCCAGGGCTATAAGAGAAACCCTGTCTCTAACTAACTAACTAACTAACTACCTAACTAACTAACTAACTAAAAGCCACCAGGGTATTCCAGTGGTACAACACTTGCCTCCTATATATAAGGCTTGGATCTGGAATTGAAGCCCATAAAAATAAATAAAACAAAGCTGAAAGGTCTCTAAACAACTAAACAAATACAGTAGGCCTGAGTTTGATCCCCAGGACCCACTTAATGAAAGGAGAGAACTGATTCCCATGGGTTGTCTTCTGACTGCCACATACACCACCCAGCTAAATAAACTATAATAAAAGTATTTTTAAAAAACATTTACATTAGCCGGGCGGTGGTGGCGCACGCCTTTAATCCCAGCACTCAGGAGGCAGAGCCAGGTGGATCTCTGTGGGTTCGAGGTCAGCCTGGTCTCCAAAGTGAGTTCCAGGAAAGGCGCAAAGCTACACAGAGAAACCCTGTCTCAAAAAAACAAAAAAAAAAAAAAAACATTTACATTGTATGAATAGTACTACTGAGGAAAACAGCACAATTCATTTCAAATATGGAAAAAAGAAAGAACCTTTAAGGCCTGGTGAGGCACTTGAACTCACAGAAACTATGGCAGCACACACAAGCCTAAACAGGTTCAAGCCAGATAGGGTCTCAGCACTAAGGGGGAAGTAGACACAGGCTCCCACTCAAGAATCTACCTGTAGTTGACACCCACTGGCAAAGAAAACAGTTCAGGTTTCTCCAATGGACTCTCACTGTATTAACCACACTTCAGGATGAGCCCCATGTGCAGAAGTAATTGGCCAACACAACACACATTCAATGTTTGTTTTTTGTAGACTGTCTCATTACACTCTGAGCATTTTTGCTCGTTTATTTTTATTTCCATTTTTGTGGGGTTTTGTTGTTTTTTGTTTGTTCTGGGGGAGTTGTATGTGTTTCTTATGTGTCTTTTTTACTTTTAGATTTTGTTTGGTTTTAAAGAGAAAAAGAACAAAGTTGGGTAGAGAGGTGGGGAGGAATTGGAGGAGGGAAGGAAACATGATCAAAATACAATGTATGGAAGAAAAAAAAAGACTGGTGAGGCAAACTTCATTCTAAGCCAATGGATTATGGCACCAATCTGCGCAGCTAATAGGGAGGCCATCAGCAGTGAGATGGGGCCGAGTACTCTGTTGCTGTCTTGCATATAAGTCTAAGCACCATTTTCTAAGTAACTCAATCCTAAAAGTCTCTAATGCTATGTAATTGTTTCTTTAATACCTCCTATTACAACATTTTCTGTGTTTCGATTCTTTCTTTAGTTCTAAAACTGAATATAGAGTTTACTCAACAGTTCTCAGACATACTGACATTGTAAAGCATAGTATTCCAGGCTAACGTCTGTTCCTCATTACCAGAGACAGGCAAACATGTTTCTGGTCTGCTGGTTCCAGGGTAAAAGAGAACACCTGTATTAAAGACCCAGGAGAGGAACTTGCCCCACACAGCAGAACCCTTAGTGTTTATTAAAACTGTCAAGCTCTGGAAAGAAGAAGGGCTATTGATAGAATCCAACCGTTCTTTTTTTTTTCCCTTACGTTTTTTTTTTTTTTTTTTTGAGAGACAGGTTTTCTCTGTGTAGCCCTGGCTGCCCTGGAACTCGCTCTGTAGACCAGGCTAGCCTCAAAGAGCTGCCTGCCTCTGTTTCCCAAGTGCTAGGACCAAAGGCATGTGCCACAATTGCATTCTGAATAAAATAAATGTAACATGGAAGATAATAAAACAAATGACATAAAATAACAAATAGTAAATCATATACAATTCTTGTTTTCTGGAAGTTATAATAATGAAGCCAAAAGCTCACATTTTCAGCAATAAATGCTTCAGGTTTTCCATTATAAAACCTGCCAAAGCCACTGAATGTACACGAGAGGATATAGGACATGTTCTCTCTGCCTAGTTCTTTAATACTAAAATAAGAGAAAACAAAATCTAAGACAGGTACATGCAATATGATGCAACATGGTTACAGAAACAGTGTGCAGTCAACTCTCTTGAGGTAGCTGATTTCTCATCAACTTGGGAGAGGGAATCAAAATATAACCAAATATTTAGTCTAGAATCATTTACTTAATACTTCATCCTGAAAATTCCTTCCATTCCTCTATAAAATAATTAGTACTAACCCTGAAAAAAGACTCTAAGGAAAAGGTAAACAAATACCACATAAATTTCAAAGTACTTTCCCAGGAATGCCTGTGTGCTACATGGATAAACTAGAAGTAAACTACTTCTTAAAGTGGCCAGGAAAGCATCTTAGAAAACTCCAAACGCTCTATGAATAGAGATAGGTAGGTACTCAATGCTCACAAAACCCCCCCTTAGTAGACACAGCACTAATATTATCTTTGGCTAATAGGGGGGGAAAAAATTCTGTCTGGCATAGAAAAAGACTGGTGGTGGTGGCACATGCCTTTGATCCCAGCACAAGGGAGCCAGAGGCAGACGGATCTCTTTAAGTTCAAGGCCATCCTGGTCTACAGATCAAGTTCCAGGATAGCTAGGCCTACACAGAGAAACCCTGTCTCAAACTGCCTCCCCCACCCCCACCACCGAAAGGCAAAAGGGAACTTCCTCAAAAATTAGTATGTAGAACTATTATTAATTCTCCATTTCATTTTTGTGCAATGTTAAAAATAATTGCTCCATATACATTGGAAACAAAAAGACAAATCCTAAATACTTAAATGACCCCTAAAGCAAAACATAAAACTACATATAAAATTAAAACATTTGCCGGGCAGTGGTGGCACACACCTTTAATCCCAGCACTCAGGAGGCAGAGGCAGGTGGATCTCTGTGAGTCTGAGGCCAGCCTGGTCTACAGAATGAGTTCCAGGATAGCCAGGCTACACAGAGAAACCCTGTCTCAGAAAACCAAAAAAAAAAAAAAAAAAAAAAAAAAAAAAACACTAAAATGTTCGTTCTGTACTTCCATTTACATGAGTATAGATTCACAAATAAATTAGTTCACTAAAGTCAAAAGCACAACACATGTGCTCTGAGTCTCAGGATAGCAGATCATACAGCTTAAATAAAAGATTGCATTGCTTAAATAAAGAGCTTGATCTTTACAAGCTCATAAATTTTAGTACTTAACTGCCAGGATTTCTGGGAAAAATGTTAAAAAGGCCTCTGGATCCCAACCAATTTACTTCTCTGTGCTTTGTATACACAGTTCGAAATTATTACTAAGGTCATTAACACAGAAGAAAAGCAGGCAATTCCTACCACCAGAAATGTAAACTACAGTACCCAACAGGGGAGCCCAGCAGAAGTATAAAAACCCAAGGAAGTACACATTCAAACCCGTGCAACCAGTTACCTTCACTGAACACATCTAGCAACTCTGCCTTGGTCCAATTACATGAGGTTATGAGAAAAAAGCCTTTTACTTCCAATACCCTGGAGAGAGACATCACATATTGCTTCCTCTTCTCAACTGCATTGTCAGGATTAAGACTTATGGCATCGAAAGTCCCTTTGTCAACACAAACATGAAATCCAGACAGCTTTGTGGAAAGACTCAAAAAGTCTTCTACCTATATTAAAAATGAATGCCCATATGAGAACAATTAACACAATCTTTAAATAACTTAAGTGACAACATGTAAAAGGTTAGAGATAAAAGAGCCCATTATGATGGCATTTTACATATAATAAACATATTTTCAACTTTATAGCTAACTTTTATGTGCTTTATTTCCAAGATCATTAAAGCCAAAATTAAAAGAGAGGTTGATAGTGTTTCCTGGACATTTCAAATATCTACAAATTTGGAAACAAATCAAAGCCAGGAATACTGGCTCAAAAGCCCAGTTTACAAAAAGTTGATTCTTATGAAAATATTTAACATATTTATCAAAATGACAAAATTTATTTGAAACCCAGGTCACTACAAATAAGACTTATGACTTACACTCCTACTTGAGTGGCCTAAAGTAAATAAAGAATTATCAAAAGTTCCTTTGTTTTGATTCAGCAGCTCACAAAGCTACTAATGGGTATCACAAAAGGCATGAAGCTTAAGAAAGTAAAGGATAATTTAAACTATGATTACTTAACTTGGTAAATGTCCTACACTTTAGCTTTTAATAATTCATCAGCATCCTGTTTTTAACAACCTAATACGACTGCAGAATTTGAAATAGTGATGTGCCTCTATTTTATAATACAAAAATTTACTAATGAATTTAATTCTAAAATTGTTTTCGTTGGGGAGTTCGAGATAGGGTTTCTCTGTTTAACAGCTCTAGCTATCCTAAAACGCATTTTGTAAACCAGACTGGCCTTGAACTCACAGAGACCTCATCATTCATACAATTTTTGAAAGTAAATATCTAAAACAACCCTTAAAATGAATAGTATACATTGGCATGTGTGCGTCTTTGTTGTTGTTGTTGTTGTTGTTTTAGTGACAAGGTCCCACACAAGCTCTCCTAGATCTGCTTCGACGACAATGCGGAAACTGCAGGTGCATGCCAACCAGCACAACACACTCAGCATGGCCTGCTCTCCTATCCAAAGCACAAAATTCACTCTATCTGAATCAACATAAAGACTACATGAAGAGCTCACTCTGTGGGGACATCCTCACCCCAAACACCTATACAAAACATTCTTGTATTCCAAAGGTATTTCATGACACCTGTACTTACAGATACAGGATATAACAGTAAGTGAAAGAATAAAGAAATCTGTGTTAATATAGTAGTAGCCTTGTGTTTTATAAAGGGAGAGATAAACAACAAATAAGCTGCTACCGGTTTTTTTGTTTTGGGTTGGTTTTTTGTTTTGGTTTTTTCGAGACAGGGTTTCTCTGTGTACCTTTGTACCTTTCCTGGAACTCACTCTGTAGCCCAGGCTGGCCTCAAACTCACAGAGATCCGCCTGCCTCTGCCTCCTGAGTGCTAGGATTAAAGGCGTGTGCCACCACCATCTGGCCTAGCTGCTACTGTTTAAGAGCATCTTCCAGAATACACTCATTAGAAACACAGTCATATGTTAACAGTATTTGGAAGAGACCCTCGGAAGGTGATTGTGTCATGAGGCCTCTCTCTTCATCAACAGATTAACGGGCTAATGAGGGATTGGTTTTATAATAAAAGCAAGCTTTCTCTGGCTCACTTGCTCTGCTATGAGGCATGAAGAAGGCCTCTCATCATTTCATGTAAGAATCATCCTGGACTCTCCAGCCTAGAATTGTGGGCTTAAATAAACTTCTATGCTTTATAAATTACCTAGTCTATGTTATTCAGTCATAGCAACAAAAAGCTAACTAAACATAAAATTAAGAAAATATTTCAAGGAGCTACAGAGATAGCTCAGTAGTTAGGAACACATACTGCTCTTTTATCAGGTGGCTCATAAATGCCTGGAGCTTGAGCTCCAAGATCCAATGCTTCTGGCCTCCACAGGTACCTGCACTAACATGCACATACTCACACAGAGACATGTAATTTTTTTTTAAACTTTATAGTATTTCAAGGTTCAAACTCAGTGGGTAAAGGCTTTTGTCACCAAACTATACAATCTGAGTTGATCTTTAGGACTGACATGACATCGAGAACCAACTCCTACAAGTGTCCTCTGACCTACACAAGTATAGATGATAATAATACTATTTCAGATAGGGCCAGCAAGATGGCTCAGCAGGTAAAGGCTTGCCACCAAACCTAAGTTTGAGCCCTGAAATCCACATGATGAAAGGAGAGAACTAACTCCAGCAAGTTGTCCTCTGATCCCAATCCATGAACACATGTATGTCTATACAAGTACATATACAAAAATAAATAAATGCAATTTAAATTTTAAAAAACAAATTACAAATGCTTAATAATGGTATACCATGAAATATCTTTTAAAACATATTTTAGATAAAGTGTTATTAAGAAAACAAAAACTGGGGCTGGAGAGATGGCTCACCACTTAAGAGCACTGGCTGCTCTTCAGTGGCTCCAGGTTCAGTTCTTAGCACCTACATGGCAGTCTACAATCACCTGTAACCCAAGATGTAGGGGGTCTGCAGCCCTCTTTTGGCCTTCCCAGGCAAAACCATAATGCACATAAAAATAAGTAAATCTTAAATAAAATAAAAATAGAGCCTGAGCTTAGTAGATAAAGGCACTTGCCACCAAACCCAACTGAGTTCAATCCCTGGAGCCCACATGATAGAAAGAGACCCTCCACTGTGCACTATGGCACATGTATCGGCCCACCACACACACAATAAATATATGAATGGAATTTTAAAGAGAAAAAGCTGAGCATGGTGATACATGCCTCTAAGTCCAGCACTTGGGAAAGCAGAGTTACAGAAGACCAGAAGTTCAGCTATATAGCATGCTAGAAGCTAGTCTGAACTATAGAAGATTCTGTCTCAGTAACACAAAACAAAACAAAAACCATGAGCCATCCAAAATGGTGCATATCTATAGTTCTGCCTTTAGAAAGTAAAGGCAGTGGGATTCACAAGTCTTAGGCCATACTAGGCTACAAAGGGACTCACTCCTAATCTTGAGGGGAAAAAAAAGAAAACAGTAATAAGACTGTGGGTGACTAGAAGATAAATCTTTTGTTATTTTTTTTTTTTTTTTTTTTAAAAAGCATCCTGAGATGGGCTTGGTTGTGCACGCCTTTAATCCTAGCACTCAGGAGGCAGAGCAAGTGGATCTCTGATTTTGTGGTAAGCCTGGTCTACAAAGAGAGTTCCAGAACAGCCAGACCTACACAGAGAAACTCTGTCTAAAAAAAAAACATAAACAAACAAACAAAAAAAACCAGTGATATAAGCCAATTTTCCTTTTAGATCACTCTGACTACTTTGTAGCATGAGAGTGGTGAGGTAAAATGATTGAAAGAAAAAAGAAACAAGGTTGACTCCTTGGGTTTTAGGTGTTCTAATTGCCTTCTGTTGCTATGAGAAAACACCCAGACCAAAAGCAACTCTGGAAAGGAAAAGACTTATTTTATCTTACATTTCCAGGCCAGGAAGTCAGGGCAGGATCTCAAGGCAGGAACCTGAAGCTAGCTTCACTTTCTGACTTTCTGACAGGCTGATGCTTAACTAGTAGCTTCCTTATATAGCCCAGGAATGTTATGGATGGTGCCACTCATAGTGGGCCGGGCCTTCCTGTATCAATTAATAATCAAGACAGTCCTCAAAGATAGGCCCACAAGCCAATCTGATCTAGACAATTCTTCAATTGAGGCTTTCATCTCTGATGACTTTAGGCTATGTCAAGTTGATAATTAAAGCCAAGTGGGACAAAGAATTAAATAACAATGTTTGGTATGATAACATTCTATGCATTTGTAAGATTTTTTTTTAATATAAGTCATTTTCTTTGAGAAATCAAATCCTGCCATAATCACAGTTGAAGTGGCGGTAGCCTCCAGTTCTAGTAGAACCTGAGACAGACAACAGCACTACAGAGACACCCAGCATTTATAACTTTTTGATCTGATTAATCCAGAGTCAGGTACTGTATACGTTTCTGCAAACATGGACGGTATTGTATGAACACACACACATATACACACACAATGAAGAAGATACTTTGCCACAAAGTACAGTGGTACATGCCTATAATCCAGCTAGACTGAGGCAGGAGATAGCAAGGCTGGCCTGGGTTACAAAATAGGTATTGACCCCTTGTCAATACACACAAAGAAAAAGTAATTTCCCTAAACTAACTAGATTAAATTTTTAATAGTTACTTTTAAGTGTTTCAGTTTAGATTATTTATACTTGATTCTTAATTTACAAATTCAAAAAGGCTAGTAGATTAACATACTTTAAAAACATTTAAACATTACAGTTTATTTTAAAATGTTATTTAAAATATTATAGTAATATAAGTAATAATTACCTTCAAGTTAATGTTAGATAGCCCTTCTTTCTCTAAAATGCTTGCAGAAAGCTTAATTGCAGAAGGAGAATAATCAATCCCAGTTATATTAGAGAAACCATGTTTCACCTAGAGACAGAGAAATAATTTCATAATTTAGTTTGAAACTTTTAATATGTTTTGCTTATGAACTATAATATTCCTTGAATCTAGAATTGTTTTAACTTTGTCATAGATCAAATGTCATAGAATATCCAATTATTCACATTTAAATTTTATTGTACTCTAAACAGAAACCAAAAGCTTAAATTTATGACAATTTTCTGCTTTTGTAATATATGATTTCTTTTCAAAAAGAAATTCATTTTCTCAAAAATAATGTATAAGCCCTTGGGCTGAAAATGTAATATTAATTTCTGATGCTGCTATACTCAAATTCACACATGAATTTAGCTCACATTTTACTTAACTCAATTAAGTTATAAGAATAAATTAAATGCATATGTAGTGAGTTGGTTTTCCTTCAGCAAATTATAAATTATTTAATTCTCTACCAGTCATATAATTAAGCCACCTTATATTTGTATAGTACTTTTTCACTTTTTCAACTATTTCACACATTGAATTGGATCTCTGTGAAAGGTCTGTGAGGTAGGCTAGGCAGGCACCAGTTTCTGCAGGAACTGCAGAGGGATCACTGGCCTTGAGGGTTTACTACCTGCTGGGAATAAATCCTCCTCAGATGTATAGCAAAGGTATGGTGGCTGCCCTTCTTTACCCACCCCTAATTATGCTGCTCATTATACTAAAAAAATTTCAAAGGAAAACAACAAAGGTTGCAAAATATGGTATGGTCTGAAATTCTTCTGGTAGGCATCACTATTCATTAAATGGTTACTTTCTTCAAAAGTTAACCTAGTGCCAGGCATGTGGTATACGTCTTTAATCCCAGAACTGAGAGGCAGAGGCAGGAAGAATTCTGAGTTTGAGGCCAGTCTGATGCTCCAGGCCAGCCAAGGCTACACAGGGAGACTTGAGGTCTCAAAAAAAAAAAAAAAAAAAAAAAGGTAACCTACATAAAGACTTACTTTTAAAAATAATTGTATTTTGAAAACACTTTCCAACCCTAAGTGACTGAGGTGCAATCTAAACTCAAGAGACACACAAAACCAGCTATTTTCCAGATCATTTGCTTTGCCTTATGTCTTGTTTTTGAGACAGTCTCTCACTGGATAGTCTAGTCTGACTTCCAACTTTCTATATCACCTAAGCTTACCCCCTACTTAGGATCCTCCTGACTCCACCTCATTTGTACAGGGACTACACATGAGTACCACTACACATGAGTACCACCACACTCACCTTTATTTGTTTTCTTATTATTATTATTTATTTTTAATTTTTTTAAATGCTGAATGCTGTTTAGAAGGAGGGAGGAGGTCTTAAATACAGGCTTACAGCACAATGGGAGAACCCTGGAGGACAGAAGCTCACTACAGATGTTTTACAATCTTGCATCTAAGCTGTTAACGCCCATTATTCAGGATACATAGACAAGGAACTTCCCTTAAACATTCAGGAGGGTGAAACCCAGGAGGGAATTAGCATAGGGAGGATATCAAGTCAAGGTCAGCAAGCAAGGCAACAGTTACCCAAATCAGGGGTCAGGGCCCTACAGGTCCCCCTTTTACTAATAAATGAGCTTCTGACTTAGGTTGCATGGGACATCAGCAGGTCACCTTACCCGTCATGGAGACGCCTGCCCAGGCCACATAGGCGTTCTGTCTTAGGTTGGTGAGCACCCCCCAGGCATTACTCGTCTCTGAATACTCATTATCATACAGGCTCAATCGTGTGTGAGCTGCAGAGTTAACTGCTGCCAAAGATCTCAAAGTGGCACTGGGCTTGCAATCTGTGTGTTCGACAAAGAAAAGACCAACAGAAGTCCTAATCCACCCATAGCCAGTAGGCTAAAGGCAACTGAGCCATTCCTTCCTTAACGAGCCTTACTGCAAATTGGAGTCCTTGTAAATTTAAAACTTTTATTTTTAAATTATGTGCATTGGTGTTTTGCCTGCATGAATATCTGTATGAGGGTGTCCCTCAGAGCTGAAGTTACAGATAGTTGTAAGCTGCCTTGTGGGTGCTGGGTATTGACCCCAGGTCCTTTGGAAAAGCAGTCAATGCTCTTAACCGCTGAGCCATCTCTTCAGCTCTTATTCCTGTTTTTGATCTAAAGGTCTACTATCCTATCCTCTTAGCTGCCTCTACCTTTACCATTGGAGACGTTCATTTTCCTCTCATTTCTAATAATTCCTTCCCTAAGCGACTGAAAACCTAGGATGATTCTACTGACTTTTGGCAGTTTCTTCTATCATGACTGTTGACTCTTCGGTACAACATATAAAAATTATGCTGATGTTTTTGGGTTCGATTACAATCACTTAGAACCACAAACTATCAACCAGTGTTTTTCCTATTCAGTTCCTGCACTGAATATTTTCCCCAAAGTGAAAAATAAATGGACCGTCTAAGAAACAATATACAATCAAAAAGACAAGGAGGAAACTTATATTAGAAACAGGCTCCAACCAGGTAGTGGTGCATACAACTTTAATCCCAGCACTTAGGAGGCTGAGGCAGGTGGATCTCTGAATTTGAGTCCAGGACAGCCTGGGCTACACAGAGAAACCCTGTCATGAAAATAAATTAAAGACTTTTGGCCAAGAATTGTGATTTTTGACGGGCAGTGATGGCACACGCCTTTAATCCCAGAACTTGGGAGGCAGAGCCAGGCGGATCTTTGTGAGTTTGAGGCCAGCCTGGTCTACAGAGTGAGATCCAGGAAAGGCACAAAGCTACACAGAGAAATCCAGTCTCAAAAAATAAAAAAAAAAAAATTGTGATTTTTTTGTTTGTTTGTTTGTTTGTTTGTTTTGTTTTGTTTCAAGACAGGGTTTCTCTGTGTAGTTTTGGAGCCTATCCTGGATCTCACTCTGTAGACCAGGCTGGCCTCGAACTCACAGAGATCTGCCTGCCCCTGCCTCCCAGTGCTGGGATTAAAGGTGTGTGCCATCACTGCCCAGCTAGAACTGTGAATTTTAATAACAAACCAAAAATAATAACAGAACTGCAATGTACAATAATTAAACCAAGAAACTCAAGTGTAAGTTTGATGGATTAGATACAGCAAATATATAGATATATATATGTGTATTTATTTTAATATGTAAGTGTACCTATGTATGCGCGCACCCACAGACACACACACACATACACAACACACACACACACACACACACACACACACACACACTTTTTAAAGACAGGGTCTCACTGTGTAGCCCTGACTGGCCTGGAAATCATTATATAAATAAGGGTGGCAGTGAACTCAAGAGATTCACCTGATTCTGCCTCTGGAGTGCTATGATTAAAGGCATGTGCCACCATGTCCAGTTTGTGTAAACCATTTTTTTATTTTAAAGAATTAGTAAAGAAAACATTCCTGTTCAAAACAGGATGACAAAAAGATCTAACATGGCACAGAATATGAGATGTAAACTAGTTACAGATATAGATATTCAGAAAAGAAGAAACCAGAATGGGCAAGAGTAAGAAATAGCAAATGACTGAGATTTTTCCAATACTGAACAAAGGGCCCCAAGCACTGCAAACACAAACTGAGATGATAACAAACAAAACCACCCACATCATAGTATTTCTGATGAAAACCAGAAAGAGAAAAATCTCGAAAGCACCAGTAAGAATAGAGGAACAAGAAGTCAGATTACTTCCCAAGACTAACAAGGGTGGTATACAGATGACAGAGTTATGTAGAATGGGAGCCAGAAGACAAGCAAAGAAAAAAACACCAATCTAAGATTAGTAGCAAAACCACCTGTAAAATATGTAGAAAATGCAAGCAAAGATCAGCAGTGGTTGGTAACAAAAAGATATCACATAACACATAGAAAAATATATACCAAGCTGGGCAGTGGTACTACATACCTTTAATCCCAACACTTGAAGGCAAAGGCAGGTAGATCTCTGTGAGTTTGAGGTTGGCCTGGTCTACAGACTGAGTTCCAGGACAGCCAGGGCTACATGGAGAAATCTTGTGTTGAAAAACCAAAAAGAAAAAGAAAAAGAAAATATATACCAACAGCTAAGTTCACTTACCCCAATCTCAGAATCAAGGCTGGAGAGATGGTTCAGTTGGTAACGTGCTTGCTGCACAAGGGTTGAAGACCTGAGTTCTGAACCTCAGAGCCCACATGAATCTCAAATAGCCAGATGGGATATAATGCATCTGTAATCCCAGTATTCCTAGAGCAGTGGTTCTCAACCTGCGGATCGCAACCCTTTTAGGGGTCACATATCAAATATCCTGCATATCAGATATTTACATTATGATTCTTAACAGTAGCAAAATTACAGTTATGAAGTAGCAATGAAATGATTTTATGGTTGGGGTCACCACAAACATGAACTGTATTAAAGGGTTGCAGCATCAGGAAGGATGAGAACCACTGCTCTAAAGGAAGATAAAAGTAAAGACAAGACAATCCCCAGAGTATGCAGTGAAGAAGAAGAGACCCTGTCTCAATCAAGGTGAAAAGTGACAACACCCAAGGCTGTTCCAACCTGGACACAAGCACCTTGACACATACATGTACATGCATGCATACACATACACACACACACACACACACACACACACACACACACACATTTAAAAATATAATACGAAAAATACTTTGAATCCAGATGTGGTGGTGCACATCTTTGATCCCAGCACTCAGAAGGAAGAGGCAGGTATATCTCTATGATTTCTTTAACTAAAAACAGCTGACAATTTTATTTTCATATTTCACAATACAAATGAAAACTGTACTTTTTTTTAACCCCTCTTTTCTCCTTTCAAAACTATTCTGTCTGACAGGAAAGGGGAAGCCTTCCTTGTCCTAGAGCTTAGAAGACACTCAGGTTCAGCACTGTGATCTTCTGGTGAAACAGAACAAGAAATAAAAAACTGATAAAGAGCCCTTCTGCTCTGTCTGGCCAAGCCAAGTGAGGACCATCATAGGGCAAGCAGGAGGTATCATCACTGGAGGCCCAGGCATCATGGG